GATTGTTTGCGGATGATAACTTCCTCCAACAATCATCATACAATATATTAGTTATTGAATACAAATTGAATCATGATTTACACATATTGGAAATTTGGTCAAATAAGTGGCTACTCAAATTCAATCCATCTAAAACTAAGGTAGTTTATTTCAACAAGAAAAATATTTCTGCTATGCCAAAGTTATTTTTTAAAGGCGATAGACTTGAGTGTGTTCCAGTCCATCGCCATTTGGGTTTGCTATTGTCGCAAAATCTTAGTTGGTCTGAATATATTGATGGAGTTGTAAACACTGCCAGTAAAAAACTAGGCATTCTAAAGAAGTTAAAGTTCAAAATGGGTAGAAAAAAATTGATAAAATTGTATATTACATTCATCAGACCTATGCTTGAATATGCTTCGATCGTTTGGGATGGCTGCTCGAAATACGAGGGGCGTTCAATAAATAATGTAACAGCTCGATGACATCCAGCATAGAAATCATATGACATTAAGCTTGACTTTCTCTAATTATTGAATCTTTAATGAATTTATAACAGTTTATGTGACCACTTTTCATCGCATAATTTCATTTTGGGAAGCTGGAAAACAAGGGCTACTCGAGACACTGCATTAAAAATGAATGGTCAAGAATCAGCAAACTAGAGCAAAATTGAACGCGTCATTAAAGGTGCTGTAAAACTTGTTAATTTACCAAATATATATTAACTGAAATATGTAAAATTTGCAGCAACTTATGTCTGTTTCATACACACACGAACAGGTAGATTTCAATTAACAAAAATTAAAATAATGGGCATCAAAAATGGGTACCGTTCTTGTCAACAAGGACATACAACAAACAGTTTATATGAGCGATAATTCAACAAATTATCACTGATTATGTTTTATTGACTTGAAGATACATAGCAAATTTGATAGACATCATTTAGGGGATGTTCACACTGTTTTAAAGATACATTTCATGGTAAAAAAGTTAAATACTCAAAGGTCACCCTATATTTTTAAAAATGAGTAAAAACGAGAGCGTGTAGAAAATCTAAACAATTATTATTAAAAAAAACAAAAATTGTTCTAATCCTCGTATTTCTGAAATTCAAAAAGATCATGAAACTTGAATCCATTTTGCGTTAACCCCTCAAAACAAATTTAGAATAAGATGTACTTGACAAAACTGCAAAGGCCCGAGAAGAGCAAAAATTTGCAAGAACACACAAACAGTTTTATACGCTATTTTCTTAAATATTATCGGTCTTTTTGTTCAAAGTCATATATAGGGAGGCAGTTCAATTTCTGGAGGAGTCTAGTAAGCAAAATATTCGCCCAAAAATTGAAAGGTTTATAAGAGAAAGGAAACAGAATGAGGAATTCACTACATTAAATTTCTTCATGACAGCGTCCAAACCCACAGGCCATGAAGAGTAAAGTTGTTTTGGGATGAACAGAAAGTTAATGTTTTGTCACATCAACAATATTCGCCAGATCTTTCAACCTTTGACTTGCTTCATTTCCCAAACTTAGGAAAAAACAAGTACAGCAAATTATAGGATCTGCCATTTTCCAGTATGCGAAGGGTCATACTCAAAACTGTGTTCTAAAAACAATTAGAAATTGAATAAAAATGTTACGGACATGTGTTTTAATTAAAAGAGAATAATTTAGTTAAATCATGGAGACAAAATCATTGAAAAGCGTTTTTTGTTTCTTTCCGAGGCCCGATAACACTATTTATTGAACGCCCCTCGTATGATGCAGAAAAACTTGAAAAAGTACAATTAACCGCCGCTAGAAATTTAAGCGGACTTCCTATATTTGTGTCTAGAGATGCTCTTTATTCTGAAACTGGGTGGGAAACTTTAAAAAACAGACGATATATTACTAAACTGACTACTTTGTACAAAATTCACACGGGATGAGCACCGGAATATTTGAATAATAAAATAAATAAGCGTGAACATGTATCCACATATAATACGCGTAACAAACAAGATTTTATTGTTCCTAGGTGTAGGTTAGAACTACATGTATTTAGAAACTCATTCGTACCTGACGCTACAAAACAATGGAATTTATTAAAAACAGATACGAGAGAAGCCGTTTCAGTCAAAACATTTCGAAAAAACTTGACAACAAAAATTGATATTCCACCACCATATTTTTCTTTTGGCAAACGATACACAAATATCATTCATACAAAGTTAAGACATTACTGTATACTTAACCATGATCTATATAAACGAAATATTGTAAGTAGTCCATTATGTTTATATGGAAAAAATGAAGATGTGTATCATTTCTCTTTTGCATGCACAAATTATTCTAATGCTAGAAGTACTCCTTTTAATCATTTGTTAATGCTTGATTTGGTTTTTATTAATATTAATATATTATTATGTGGTGATATTAATTTGCCTTTGCAGATAAAAAAACAGAATTTTTGCTGCTGTTCATAAATTTATTGACGAAACATGTAGATTCTCTAAATGATGTATTACATTATATCGTATATACAATTATTGATGTATCTTTTTTTTCTTTTTGCATGACATATTGTATTATATAAGGAGAGGAATTCACTAAGTTATTTAGAACTTGTTTCCAATCCTTTTGATTGATATCGATAAAATATGTTCAAAACAAACAAAACAATGCTTTAAAAAGAACGGATACAAAGACGACTGTAGATTTGGCGAGAACCATGAAAAGCCATTTGGGAGCTTCATGATTTATTATTAAAGAGCATTTTAAAATCCTATCAATCAGTATGTGTAAATTATGTTCCAAGTTGGTGATTAAAAATAAAATCAGACCAAATGGTTAAATTATGTTACATTAAAATTTCATGTAGCTTGATAGCAAAGGAGGCTTCATTGACAGTGCTATTTGTCAAGGTAAAAAAAATTCTTGTTCGCCGCCCACCGAAATTTAACACCCCTTAAATGCGATTTTAATTGCAAGAAGGGTATGGAGATAACAATATAACAATATAAATTTAATCTCAAAGCCCATAAAACAATTCAAAATAAAAGCAGAGCAAACACGGTCTTCCGAAACATCAGAGGTGGGATCAGGTGCCATGGAGGAGTGAGCATCCCCTGATCACCGGTCATACCCGCCGTTTGTTCCTTGTCATGATCAGGAAATAACGGAAAACCCCGTCGTCAATTCATTGTATAAATAATGGACTAACAATTAATATGAAAAACGTCATTCAGCATTTGACTCAATGACAAATTGTATTTGCTGACAAGGTCATTGTATCGACCATAGAACTAACGAAATGATGACTTTAAACGAGCAAGCTGATATTCTTGTTTCATCAACTTGCTTGTCAATAATTTACCTCGTTTCGAAATTGTTCATACGTAGAACAAGCTCTTGCGTATCGAATCAACTGAGATATATACACTCCGTATGCAGATGATGAAGGTATATTGCTGCATAAGTAAGGGAAGTTGACGATAGAAAAGTTAAAGTCATCACGTTTATCATAGAGCTTGGTTGTTAGATTACCATTAACGTCTTTTTCAATTAAAATATCCATGTATGAAACAGACGTGTCAGACTCTGTTGTATCTTTTATCTCAAGCTCACCAGGATGTATCGTATCGACGTAGCAATGGAAATTACCATTGTTAATTGACAATATATATGCGTCGTCGATATATCTAAATGTAGAGTTGATGGCTACAGCAAGTGTTTTCTTCTTTTCACGCATAAGATTTTGCACAAATTCTGCTTCATATGAATATGAAAATATGAAAATAAAAATAAATATAAAATAAAATTGAAAACATTGCGATAAATTATAAAGTTTAATGAGACTTACCTGGAAGGTGAGGTTTGACTGTAATTTTTCCTCCATTGAGAGACGTAGGGATCAAATGAGATAAAGTTCAAGGTCACGTAATCATAATTCAGAGGAGTAGTAGTAAATATTGGGGCATCAAGTTAAACACAAAATAATAGGGTGGGACTCGGAAAATTCATAGGGTTGGGCATTTGATCCCTACGTCTCTCAATGGAGGAAAAATTACAGTCAAACTTCACCTTCCAGGTAAGTATCGTTTAACTTTATAATTTTTCCCCATTGAGAGCCTCAGTCTCAAACGAGACTTCAGAGTTGATGACCCAATAAAAATAGATCACAAAGTTCATCATCAAAAGAGTGCAAACAAGTTTTAACTAACTTTATTAACTCCAACTCAGATTCATGAACATATTTCTGTATATAATATTCTACAAGTTGTCATTTTGAAAATTGTCCAACAAAGCATTGCTGAATTCACTAGACAGTTTAACTTGTTTGTTATAACATTTTCTAAAGGTATTGTCAGTAGTCCAACCTGCTGTTCTCAGAATTGTGGCAACAGACACCTTAGCTTTAGCTGCAGCACTGGTTGCTGCTGATCGTGTACTATGCGGTGAAAAACAGTTCATGTCTATTCCAGCATTTGTCATAACTGATTTGATCCAGCGACCAATGGTATCCACAGAAATTGGATTATGAGGCTTTCGGGTACTTATAAACAATTTACATTCTGAGCCCCTCAATTTTTTAGTTCTATGAATATATTCCCTGTACACATGTACAATACATAAATCTATATCGTTTGGATAAGCAGCAATAGAATTTCATCTAAATGATGCCCTGGTCTTGTTTGCTTTAACAAGTCACCATATTTAATGATTAACATAACATCTCTCAAAGAAACATTTCTAACATCTAGAAGATGTAAACCTTGTTATCGCTGTCCAGATAATAAAGCTAACAACATTGCCAATTTCTTTGACAACTGAAACAAAGACAAATCCTGCACAGGAGACAATGTCTTAAGATATCCTAAAACCTTATTTACATCCCATGTAAAATGATATTTGGGTAAAGTTGGTCTTGACAAAAATACACCATTAATAAAACGTTTAACTAATATATGATCACCTATTTTCTCACTCGAGTGATCAGAAAGAGACAAAAATAAACTTAACGAGCTTCTTGCAATGTTCAAATCACTGTAACCAAGATTTTTCTTATACAAATTTGTAAGAAATTCTAAAACTAAATTAACATCTGTTTTAAATGGACCACTCTGTTTTTCACAACAAAACTGCAACCATTTTTGCTGATAACCCCTATATTGTCTTTTTGTGGATTCCCGCCATGATCTGCAGATAATATTGACAGTTTCTTCTGATAATTCTCTACTGTACAAGCATTGCCGGACAAACTGAACGCAGCCATCTTCATCTTTGTCAAGGGATGCCGTCGCTTTGGATCTTTTGGCAGTTTCAAGAGAATCTCCGTTTTCGGAAGAAGGTAACATGGACCTGCAACTTGATGCATCAGCTGCGGAAACCATGGCTGCGTCTTCCACACTGGAGCTATCAACAGAGCAAACTGCACTTCCTCCTCCTCGATCTTCTTCAAGACACTGCTTATGACACTAAAAGGAGGAAATAAATAACAGTCAATATTTCTCCAAGAATGTGCAAAGGCATCAACTGCTAATGCATTTGGGTCTGGTGTATATGAATAATATTTATATAACTGATGATTGTCCTTTGATGCAAATAAATCTATATCACATTTTCTACACAAATTTGTAAGTTTATCAAAAACCACTTCATCTAACTTCCATCCATATCTACATTTTTGCGAGATAAGGAATCGGCTATAATGTTTGTTGCACCCTGGACATGTTCTGCAATCAGCCAGATATTTCTATCTATGCACCAAGTCCATAATTCACGAGCTAGTTCATTCAATGTTGAAATCTTGTCCCCATGCTTATTAACAAATGACACAGCAACTGAATTGTCCATACATAATCTAACATGGGAGTCTGAAATATTTTCACCGAATCCTTTCAATGTGTAAAACCAAGCTAAAAGCTCTAAATAGTTCATGTGTGCCTCACAAATATTTTTGTCCCATAATCCACTTATTGCTTCACCTGAATCTTCATTCACTCCACCCCATCCAAACTTTGAACTATCACTTTTGAAAATGAATTTGGGGGGGTGGGTGGGGGTGGGGGGTTCTAGTTAATGGTTTAAAGGATTTACACACATTAAGAGACCACCAGTTTAGCAATATCCTACTCTGATGAGAAATTGTCATATGAGCTTCAAAATTACCTCGATTAAGCTTTATAGCCAAGTCTTTTTCAATTTCTAAGGTCTTATCATAAAGTCTAGCATATTCCACCCCTGGTTCAGAAGCTACAAACATTCCTACAAGCTGTGCAACCTGTTTAATTGTCACTTCATTTTGATTCAAAACCATATCACAAAATTCTTTAATAGATTGAGCTTTCTCTTGTGTAAGTCTAACTGTCATTGTATCCAAAACTAATAAAAATCCCAGAAAGACAACCTTCTGGCTTGCATAAAACTGAGTTTTATCAAGGTGAATAGTAAATCCAAGACTATCTAAAGACCTAACAGTGTCTCTTAAATTTACTTCACACTCATCTTTCGTATTGCCCAATAACAAAACATCAACTATGTAAATAACATTCAAATGACCAAATTTCCTAAGTTCAGCAAAAACAGGCTTCATGATTTTAGTAAAAATATGTGGGGCAATGGCTTATCCCATAGGTAGACAGGTGAACTGATATGTTTTATTTTCCCACCTGAATCTTAAAAATTGTCTACTACATTCATGAATTTTCACAGAATAATAAGCATCTTTGATATTAAGTGAGCTAAACCAACAATTTGGTTTTATTAAAGATAATGCTGACCTCAATGTCTCCATCTTGAAATGATGGCTGTCAACAATCTCATTTAAATTCTTTAAATTCAGAATAATTCTAAAAGACCCATCTTTTTTGGGACGCAGAAAAATATTTGAATAAAAAGAGTTTTCAAATAAATTTTCATTTTCATGAACACTCTCTACAATTCCTTTCTTTAAAATTTTTTCTACTTCTCTTTGAGATGCTTCATATTCAATTTCAGAAAATTTTAGCGAATTTGGTTTGTGAAATTGAAAAGGTTCATATTTGAATTCTATCTTGTAACCTTTAACAGCATCAAGAATCCAACTATCATGAGTTAATGTACACTAATTATGTAAAAAATTGTTGATTTTGCCTGCAGTAAAATTTTCAGGCGTGTTTTTCAATACAAATTGATCTACAATTGTACAATCATTAGACATACTAACATCATGTGTATCTACTGATTTGACTCTCCTTTCTTCTTTTTCTTGTTGAAGCTGAACTGTTTGGCCAAAAAATAATTTCCTTTTCCGGTCCCGTACCTTGGCTTCTTCCCGTAGCTATGAGACACATTGGGAATTCTGTATTTTCCACCAAAATCTTTATTTCCTATCTTTTGAGCCAGTTTCTTTGTCTCTAGCACATTCTTATCTTGACTGCCCAAGTCGTCTCCGAATAAATTTTCTGAAGAGCTCTCTGCAGAACACAAATTTACAAATTGTTTGTTTTTCTCTGGCTGGATAATTTGTTCCCGCCTCTTGTAGGACAAATTGTGGAAAACACATTTCTGAAACTTCAGGATGTCACCACACGGCTGTTTTGCCTTCTTTACTTCAACCAATCCTTTCTTCGAGTTGCAATTAATAAGCATGTCAAAATATCTCAATGTCGGAATCATGGCTTTTCCTATGAGATTCTGGGTAGTCTGCAATTTAATATCGCTTGATCTGTTTTTGGATGACATGTTTTCCCAAATTACTTTGTTGACTTTTGGCGCAGAAACATTGCAAATGTTTTTCGGCCTATCATACTTGTTGGAGATTTCTTTAATTTTCTCCGAGTTAGTTTTCGTCATGAACATTTTCTCCATAATCTTTGCCAGTTCAGAACTTAACGGTTCGCTCGTCTTGTCTTCATCACCGAAAAATTCGGACAGTTCATTAAGAGCAGAAACCTCATCATCATCTGACGAATCATGAATACTATCATCTCCCTCAATAAGGGAATTAAGTGCTTCATCGGCATCCGATTTGTCTGAATTTTCTACATCAGAGTCATTATCACTAAGTTTATGGGATGGACGAATGCATGCTTGAGACATTTTCGTTATCTTGCGAGGTAGCGAACTACTCTTATTCTGTCCGCGTTTCCTCGAAACGTCCGGAATTGTATCCGTTGAAGACCGGTCAGACTTCAAAGCAATAAGTTCCTTTTGAACTGAAGTCATGGTCTTAGACATATCTGCAAATTTACGCATGAAAATGTCAAACATACCACTCATATTTTCAGTGTGCTGCTTCGAATGCATCGTGTTATCGTCACGAACAGCATCCTCATCAACTTGATCTACTAGATCATAGCTGCTGGATTCTCGCATTTGCGATGATGGTCTCGGCTCATTAGCCATGCCGCCAAGAAAGAATGCGATGAGATTCTAAGATTCTCTCAAACGCTTACTCCACACCACATGGCGTGTAAAAGCAAAATGGCGTACGGAGCTACAGCCCCTGCATCAGTGACGTCACTGAATCAAATGTTGCACGTTTTGATCAACACATGTTGAAAGAAATGCAACGCTAAATGCTACAGATTCCCACATGGGAAAAGTGCAAAGAACATGTGTTCTGTAGTAGCAAAATTGCTACAAACCACTGGCTACAAAACCAGTAGAATTTTAAATAAAATGATTAATAAAATCCGAAAAGAATTACGGCTAACATCACTCGCGTCTGAACTATGAAAAGACATAAACTTCTATGATTACGTGACCTTGAACTTCATCTCATTTGAGACTGAGGCTCACAATGGGGAAAAATCGCATTTGTCATTGCGTTCAACGTAGGTCCCGTGTCACGGTAGGCGTTGGCGCCATGAAGAAACCTCACTGCTCAATGACCCTGAGTGCTAAGGTCTAAATTTGAAGCCCTTCACCGGCATACGGTGACGTCTCTGTATGAGTAAAAAATTCTCGAATGGGACGTAAAACAATATATCTGTCAATCAATCATAAACGCAAAAGATTGTCATCAAATTCAATGGTTACGTGATGAAAAGCAATATTTTTGCGTTTAAACGCAAAAATGTTGCCATTAAACCCATTGGTTTTTTGCTTAATCGCAATAAACGCAATGCCTATGCGATTTAGCACAAATATATAAGCGAATACATTCAGCTCCCAATTCCCACTTGAAACTGAGTTGAGTGATCTAGCAAGATATGCATATTTTTTTATCTACTTTGTGAACTTGTTTTTCGTTTTGACCTACATGTAAGATGTGATAAGCTATCAGCTGGATACTGAATTTTATCACGAAAGTACACAGTAAGGTACACAGTAAAAATGGTAGATTGAGACCGAGCCAAAATGAATATTAAGGTATTATTTTATTCTTTGCGCCCTCTCTGTATTTTTCAATCTTTACATGTTTCAATAGTAAAAATTTAACTTCAGAATAAGACTAGACCGAATGCCTCGCGTATCCAGGTCATTGATTTTGGTTTACGTGTACTTTCTGTTTGTGATTTCTGTCATTCGTGTATGATATGATAAGCAATGTTTATGTACATTTTTTTCAATGCTGATGTTACTTTGAACTATTGAGATTTAACATATAGGCAAATACTGTGTAGGTTTAATAAAAGCATTATTATAAAGTAATTTTTTGTGCTTGTTTAATTTTAACAAGCAAAATGTTGCTTTAAGTAATATTTACCTACATTTGTATATGCATGGATAACGCCAGACAATATCAGATTTAGTAGTTTAATTAAACTTATGCCTTTTGAATTTTGAGAGGCAGGGTCTTGATTATTAGCATCGATACATCTTTTTGAGCTCATAATACTGCACAATATTTAATTACCACAAAAACTTATATTTAAGGGCTATGAAATCAATCGGGATCAGTCTACACTGTCAATCAATTTCATTTGAAAATTGAGCTCATGATAGAGTAATTTAATTAAACTGCATGATAATCAGCATATTCTCGCTTTACCAGAGGTACTGAGTCAACACGTTATCATTGGACCCCTGAAATAGTCCATTCAATATTCGTGGGCTGACTGGAGCGACATCTAAATAGGAAAAATTACAAATCTTGATTGTTTTTCTTATTTCCCAACTAATTTAAGCCACTCTTTGATAAACAAACTTGTAGCACGAGTATTTGAGATGTCAAATGAATCCTAATCTTACTGTTAATGAAACCTTTGATTTGATTGCAATTGGCGCTTCTCAGCAAGCCCTAAAATATCTAGTGAAATATACCAGGCGTCCAACGGCAACAGGACCACTGGCATTGCTAGGATAAATAATCAGTTTCCACACTAACTTATATTTTAACAAGAGGCCAACGGGCCTAATACGTTACCTGAGTATCGTGTAACAACTTTCCAACAATTGAATTTGGATCATTTGTTTTTTAAACTAAATGCAATGATTTCACAATGAATTTTAAAAGTGACAGCTTTTCTAATCATAACTAAACATTTAGTATGCTGAGTTTGAATACTTAATGCCCAGAGGCAGAGCAGAGGAATGAAGAGAAAATATATTTCCACTTCAGTATATACATGTAATCGGCAGTACTCCATCCCTAACATCAGAACCTCTCACAGTTTTTTGCTAATAAACTCATAATAAAGTTTTGTTTAATACCGAGGGGATTTCGAAGCATAAATTGATTTTCAGTTCATAATCATTAAATCCCCATCCCCTCATGGTACCCTAGACGCCCTTGTCTCCAAATTCACAATTTTCGAAGAAACATACCTCCTTGCTAATCATGATAATATTATAACTCCGTATCTATTTCACTGGATTTATACCCAGGTGCAGGAGATGCTTTCAAAGAACCAATGCATTTTCAATAAATAAAGTCAAAAGAGTCCCACCCTAAATCTAGAACCACTGACCCAGGGATCATCAATTCAAAATTTTGGAGGAGGCAGCCTTCTTCAGTATAACCATGTACATGGTTCATTGGTTTAATATCGTTTCAAGCAGCAGAGAGATGTACAAAGATTTATTGCATTTTTACTATATAATCATCAGACCCCCTCCTAACACAAGAATCCCTGACTCAGGGATCCTTGCTCATCAGAGCTACTGTATGTATGTGGTGAGTTTGTTTAATATCCAGGAGGAGAGAAGATTTCAAAGAAATGATGCACTTTCACTACACAATCCAAATAGCCTCGCCCTAGCACTAGAACCCCTGACCCTGGGACAATAGATTCACAAATTCGGAAGAAGGGTCCTTGCTCATCATAACTCCTGTATGTATGTAGTGAGTTTGTCTAATACCCTTTTCATGGAGGTTCCCAGGAACAGAGAAGAAAATTTTCAAAGAAATAACGCACTTTCACCATATACTCTATTAACCCTGCCCTAGTACTAGAATCCCTGACCCTGGGGCCATGAATTTCACAATTTGGTACAGGACTCTCGAGAAATGCTAATTACAATCATGCCAAATGTTTGACTCCTTGACGTCCAGTAATACAGAAGAAGATTTTTGAAGATTGCATTAATTTTAGTGGTTTTGGTCCCAACCGTCAGGCCCCAGGGGACAGGGGCTATGAAACTCACAATTTTTGTTCCCCCTTATCGATATTTAAATACCATTTGCTGATATTGCATTGTTTAGCAGTTTCAGAGAGGTGCTAAAAATATTGAAATGTTAACAGTCGACACACGACGACGGACGAAAACGGATAGCAAAAGGATAGCAATAGGTCACATGAGGGTCTCAGGTATCGTAAAATGGAAATATAGGTACATGTAAGTAATGCAGCTGGCCCTGTACAATATGTATGGCAGTGCAATAATAGTTGAGTTTTAGGTCACTACTGTTTACAGAAAATCATTAAGATATATTAAAAAGACTTCACAAAACAAAAAAAGCTTGGTACATGTAACCAATCAACTTTCACATATTTTTTTTAAAACCTGGAACCTAATCATTTATTCTTCATTAGCTCTGAGTTTACTTCTGATTGGTATCTATGATTTATTATAGTACATGTATAAAAAACAAATACTTTAATTTACTAATAGATACAATATATACCCATATATGATTTAAATCTGATATATTTAGTAAAAGTATTCATTCATTTATTTTGAGTAATTTTATTTGATGATATTTTATATTTATCATATTCAAGTACACTAAACGGTAACGTTCTTTGTCATACTAATTATAGTTCATAATAGGACACAATTATTTTACAGTGTCAAAATACATATTTTGATTTATTATAATGAAAGGCTGTCATCGAGTATTCGAGTAAAAGAATAATTGTCCAAATAGTTTCAACAATCAATGCTCCGAAATAATGTACATTTATTCATTATTGATTTCAATTTTATTTCAGGTTGTTTTCATTCTTGTTTATTCCACTTCCTTGAGTATGTATTTTTTGCTTCATATTTGGTAAAGGTTAGATGATGTTAATTTAATGTTTTTAACTCATGAGAAATCAACTATGATTTGATATGAGATGAAGCAGATACTGAATTAGGTTTATTGTATATTTAAGAGTCTCATAATAATAATTCACCTGTTAAACCATGGTGAAAAATTATTGATTACAGGAATAGTTAATATATCAGATGCAGCTATAACATGGATCAATTGTCTTACATAATAAATGTTCGTTATCTAAAAATACAAGTATTTCATTCATAGTGCTATAATTAATGGTCCAAAATATCTTACGTTTTCCATGTTTTTTTTTACGATTGTGATATTTCACATGCCAAAGAAATGGCAACCGGAGGCGGCATTCTATAAAGTTGGTTTAAGATACTCACGAACCAAAATAAATTAAATGTCAAATTAACTCACAAGTTAACAAATTCATAAAATATATAATCCAATGAAAATATTTTATCAGACTGTCAAGATTTGTTTTCAGTTCGAGCATTTTAAAATCGTGCAAGTCCTGTGTCAAATGAAGAGTGATGTTTTCTTTTCATGGATATTTATGAATAATAGATCGAGGCATTCTTCTATCAATAAATTCGGTATTTAGTTCGGTTCGCAATTATCGGGTACTTGCCGCCTCCAACCGGAGCTGGCATTCTATAGTTGATTTTGAATACTTACGAATCGAATTGAATTAAATATCAAATTAACTCACATTATAGCAACAGTACAAAGACTTTAGTATTACCAACGCCGTTTTACGGTTCCCTCATAAAATATATAATCCGATGAACATATTTTATTTGTTTTCATTTCTTGCATTTTAAAATCTTGCCTGCAAGTCCTTGAGAAGTAGAAGCACCTTGCCATCGATTGATTCCGATTTTGGTATTTAGTTCGGTTCGCAAGTATCGAAAATCACCTCCGGTTGGAGACAGCTTTTCCAATTGGCGACGGTTTTGACGTAACCCTGGCGGTCATAATTTCAAAAAAGTAATTTTTAAAGTCTGGAAAACGTCAGATATTTCGAACTAAGTGTTATAACAGACTCAATATACATATGAAAATGGTTTTTATTTAAACTTTATATAACGGAATTGAATAACATTAAAACAGCTTTATCTTCAACATCTACCACTGATAAAATAACTACACCAACGAGCGGCTCATCGTCTTCAACACCTGCACCGACAACTTCAGATTAGTAAGCTTATTATCATATTGTTACGAAATGCTTAATATCGAGAATTGCTTTCATTTTTTCTCCTCTTTTTGCAAAGTCCATTATAATTTAACCAATGAAAATAGATGATTTTTTTGTTATCATCTTTGTTATGGTCACATGTGAAATAGCGACGTATTTTGTTTTGAGTTCCCTCACATCAACTGAAGGAGTTGAACTACTACAGCCTGAACATAGGGAGATATCAAGGGTAGACATATCCTTTCGGGAAGGACCGGACATTTCCTCTCCTTCAGTCTTTGATGTGTATCTGGGAGACCGCTTCTATATGTTCATTTCATACACAGGTGGTAAGTAGTTTATCTTCAAGTTTTCATTTATTTACTTTTCTGTATTTTTCATTCTGGCTTTTCACGTTTTTTATGTTGATCATTATTCTTTCTAATCAGTATAAACAAGTGATGTATATCGTGAAAATAACCCAGATTTAAAAAGATTTACATGGAGACGAAAAAACCCAATTAAACAAGCTAAGCTTGACTTTTTCTTAATATCAGAATCTGTGTTCACTATAACCCAAGTGTAACTTACGAGAATAGTTATCGTTCCGATCACTCACCAGTTGTGTTAAGTTGTAAACTGAATGAATTTATTAAAGGAAGAGGATTCTGGAAATTTGATAACTCTTTACTAACTGATGAAGAATTTGTTAAAAAAAATAAAATGTAAGATTGAATAGGTCAAAGTTCAGTATGTCTGCCCTGTTTACAATATGGAAAAAACTAAGCTGTTTAGATAATGATGATATTCAATTTACTATTAATGATCAACTTTTTCTTGATATTCTACTAATGGAAATAAGAGGAAAGTCAATCTCCTATTCCACTTACAAAAAGAAGGAAACAAATGAAAGAGAAAAACAATTAGAAAAAGAAATATTTGAATTGGAACGAAATTTAACAGAGCAGTCAATAAATGAACTTTCAGAAAAACAGAGATAGAAGAAATAAGAAAAATAAGGTTCAAAGGGCAATGTATCAGGTCAAAGATTAAGTGGATTGAGGAAGGAGAAAAACCATCAAAATATTTTATCAGTTTAGAATCAAGAAACTATGTCAGTAATCAAATTCCAAAAATAGAAAGAGATGATGGATCATTTGCTTTTACTTTAAAAAAGATATTTTAGAGGAAACAAAGTTTTTAATGAAATTTTATATAAAAAAAAGAAAAAATGTAGAATCAAAAAATATTCGTGAAAAACTAAAAAATTACAAAGATATTCCTAAGTTAAGTAAAGAAGAATCAAACAGCCTTGAAGGACCAGTGAAAAGTTTTGAAGTTCTAAATTTCCTAAAGCAAATGAAAAATGATAAAGTCCAGGCCCCGATGGCGCGAGTTTTTCAAATTTTTCTGGAAAGATATAGGCTCTTTTATAACAAGAGAAATAAACAATTCATATGATCTATCACATTTTACCGAGTCAAATAAACTTGGAATTATAAAACCAAAACAGTTTTTAAAAAACTGGCGGCCGATTAGTCTTTTAAATGTAATTTATAAAATAGCTTCAGGTTGTATTGCTGAACGAATGAAAACAAAATTAGATAAATTAATTAACAGAGACCAAACTGGATTTATAAAAGGCAGATTTATAGGGGAGAATATAAGATAAATATATGATTTGATGCATTATACAGAACTGAATCAAGTACCTGGTTTACTAATGCTTATAGACTTTGATAAAGCATTTGATACAATCTCATGGAAATTTATAAATCAAACATTGGACTTTTTCAACTTTGGACTCTCCATTAAAAAATGGATTGAAACTTTCTACAGTGATATTAAATCATGTGTAATACAAGTGGTGTTATTTCAGACTATATATTTCCTCAAAGAGGCTGTAGACAAGTCGACCCAATTTCACCATACCTCTTTTTGCTATGTGCAGAAATACTTGGAATTCTAATTCGGAATAATAAAGACATTAAAGGCATAATAATCGAAGGGAAGAATATAAACTTTCACAATATGTTGATGACACATCTCTTATTTCAGATGGTTCACCTACATCTATGGATGGTATCCTTCGAGAACTAGATTATTTTGCAAATATTTCAGGGTTAAAAATTAACTTCTTAAAAACAAAAATGGTTTGGATTGGAAGTAAGAAATTTTCAAAGGAAGTTTTTCACCATTCTCGGTGGAAGCTGGATTGGGATAATTCAAATTTTGATTAGCTAGGAATAAAATTCTCTGTTGATTTGGAGGAGATGCTTAAATTAAATTACATGTCAAAATTAAATGATATCAAAAAACTGGTATGCAGTTGGAGTATGAGGAAACTTACCCCAATAGGCAGATTAACAGTAATTAAAACTCTTATTATACCAAAACTAAATCATCTGATTCTTACACTACCAAATCCTAAACCCGAATTTCTAAAAATGTTTGAGACAGAGTTTTACTTTTTATGGAATAGTAAAATACATAAGATAAAGAAAAATGTTATAATTCAGGACTATAAATATGGAGGATTGAAAATGGTAGATTACACAGAATTCATTTCGGCGCTTAAATCAAATTGGGTTAGAAGACTCATTCATTCAGATGCAAAATGGGTAAAGTTGTTTAAAGCTGAACTAAAAACAGACATTGAAAGCTTGTGGATAAGGGGCTCAGATTACATTCTAAATTTAATAAATAATTTAACAAGCAAATTTTGGAAAGAGGTCCTTAATTCCTGGGTACGACTTATAAATATAAACCAAGAAAACAGATATGTGTTATCAGAACATATATGGAATAATCCACACATAATGATTAACAGAAAATCTTTTTTCTGGAAAAGCTACTTTGATGAAGGCTTTGTCTTTTTAAATGACCTTTTTGATAATGATGGCAACTTTTTAAGCTTTGACACAATAATAAACTCAAAGGTGAAAACAAATTTTGTCGAATATAATGGACTTAAGAGGGCTATATTAAAAAGACTGAAGTCTGCAAGGGTAGAGGAAATTAAAAGATTAAAGATTATTGGACCAAATATTCCAAATTCAATTATCATATCTTATAAATGTAATAAAGGGTGTAAAGATATGTATAATATATTTATTAATAATAAGAGAGAGCCAATCAGTTCTGTTTTAAAATGGAATGAAAATAATGTTTTCTTTGATGAAGCAGATTGGAATAAAATATTTGAACTTCCTTTCAAAGTTACTCAGGAATCCAAATTTCATTGGCTCCAATTTCAAATATTGCACAGAATTATTCCAACAAATTATTATCTTTTTAGATTGAAGTTAATTGATTCACCATCTTGTACATTTTGTTTAAGTGACTTGGAAACAATTGACCACTTGTTTGTTGAATGTTTTAAAATAAAAGAGTTATGGTGTAGGATTGAAGAATGGGTTTTGGAAAAATTTGAGATTCATTGCAGTTTTGACAAACAAGTAATACTTTTTGGTAAATATGAGAACAGGAATATATGCAAATTACAAAACTTGATAATACTTATTGTAAAACAATTTATTTTTGCTAGTAAATATAAAACTGTTCCAAAATTAAATATCGATATTCTATTAAAGAGGATAATATACAGAATTTTTATAGAAAAGGCCTTGTTATTACAAAGTTGTAGATATATGGAATATGAAAGTCACTAGCAAAAAATCTGTGATGTACTACTTTAAAAAAAAAAGACCTATTTTTAGGATGAAAAGTAATTATGTGCTAACTCTAAGGATTTACATTATTTGAATGCATTTTACTGCTGACCTCCCCCCCCCTCTTTTTTTTCTTTTTTTTTTCTTTTCCTTTTTACAAAACAACTTTCACTGTTACAAGTAAACTTTGTACTTTTGTAAAAAGGACAAAAATTTTAAGAAACTCACCGTGTACATGTATATGTGTCTATATGTTTTGCTTATATGTATAAAGGTCTTTGTGCTCCTTCTCAAAATCGAGCATATTTTGTATCTGGTGTACATGTATGCATTGTTCAATTCTCATTTCGATACTTGTAAAAATGAAAAGATTCACATTGAGATCAAACAGTCACATATATCGGAAACCTTTTAATTTTTCTTTAAGAACACCATGTCATCAGACCAGTAGAATGCAAGGCCTTCTGTGGCACAGTAGTAAAGGAAGGATCAGAAAACGTGACTCTTTGGAATAAACGGTGACTGATTTTATTTAAGGATTTTATTTCTCGGTAATGGAAATTGTTCATAAGTCATTGCATTTAAGAATAGATTCAAACTTTTGAGGCAAATTAATTTGAAACTTCATTTACTTTTTGTGTAAATTCCCCATAAAGTGAGACTTCACATGTTTTAGCCTCAGAATATTATTCCCTCAATGATATCCATTCTTTTGTGTCCATATTTACATTGGAATAAAGAAATAAAGTGAGACTTCACATGTTTTTAGCCTCAGAATATTATTCCCTCAATGATATCCATTCTTTTGTGTCCATATTTACATTGGAATAAAGAAATATTGAATTGATAAACAAAGATTATAATCATTGGCATAACTTCTATTTTAGTCTCTGTAACTCGAAAAAGAACAGCGTCTTAATGGATAATTTCAATCAGACATCGCCTCAACTTTTACGAGCTTCATTGTATGGATTCCATTTTATTTCAAGTCCATATGTTACCATAGAATGTACAGTTCGTATCTGTAGACATAATACAACCTGTGCCAATGAAAAGGTAGACTAGAAAAAGTAGACTAACTCCATTGTTGAAAAAGAAAAGTGACAGCTAATTATTTGATGAATATGATTTTTTAAAAATAATTATGTCATTTTAGATTTGTAATCAAAGTAGAAAAAGACGTCGCAGGAAAGACCCATCAGCTCTTGGCTCGTCCTTTTTCAAAGTTTTGAATGAGAATAGAATCCACGGTAAGAATTTTATATATACAAGTGTTTTCGAAAAGTTCGTGGATTTCTATTACATCTTTTTTTTATCCCATATTTACCCCCTAATCCCGTTGATATAGCTCATGGGATATCCTTAGTGCAGTTATGACATCACAATGGTTTTTGCGTTAGCGTGATGAAGTAAAAATAGAGTCTCATATAAAAATAGTGTAAAACATCGTTTGTAAAGTATTTAACATGGGATAAAAAGAATCTCCCATGATTTGTTGTTGTACCATGTCTCGGGGATAAAAATCATACAACTCGTTGGATTAAAATCATATCCAACTACAAATCATGGGAGGTCCTATATTCATTGTTCACCACAATCAGTGTTTTACACTGTTTTTATGTAAGACTTCACTTTATTTTTCTTCAATTACACGAACACAAAACCCACTGTGACGTCACAACTGTCGGATACGAAAACAATATCACATGAGCTATATTGTGTATCCACAGGATGAAGGGGTAAACATGGTATAAGGCCAGATAAAATTAATCTTTAGATTCTCATCTTAATTTGCTAAAAAATGGGGGCGGGTGGGCGGATTTTATTTTCTTATTTTTTACAATTGTGTATCAACAAAACAATTGGACTCTTCGTAGTTCGTACACTTTTTTTTCATTATGTTAATGCTAATATGAATAGATTTTATTGTTTTCCTTTTCTTTTTTAAAATATCTACAGAAATATTTAAGCAGAGAATTCATGTGCTTTGTATAATTTTTGAAAAAATATCACGATATATTAAAAACTTATCCAGATTTTAAAAATGCAGAAATTGGATCGCGGAGCATGTCGAAACTGAGTAAGGTGCAAAAAGGATATGGAGATAACGAATAGTATTCAGTCTCAAAGTCCAAAAAATAATACAAAACAAGAGCAGAACAAACGCAGACCCTCGAAATATCAGGGGTGGATCAGGTGCCATGGAGGAGTTAGCATCCCCTGCCGACCGGTCACACCCGCCGTGTGCTCCTTGTCATGATCAGGAAATAACGTCAAAAATCCGTCGTCAATTCAGTGTATAAATAATGGACTAACAATTGGTATGAAAAACGTCAGTCAGCATATGACCCAATGATAAATTGTATTTGCTGACAAGGTCATTGTATCGACCACAGAACTTACGAAATGATGACTTTAAACGAGACTGCTGATATTCTTGTTTCATTAACTTGCTTGTCAATAATTTACCTCGTTTTAGAAATTGTTCATACGTAGAGCATGCTCTTGCGTATCGAATCAACTGAGATATATATATATATACTCCGTATCCAGGTGATAAGGTATACTAAACACACTAAAAAATCCTGTAGTCATTTTCTAGATGTAAAATAGAGTAAAAACTGAAATCAACCTAGAAATTCAAATAAAAAATTGTTACTTCGATTCGTATTTCAGATTATGGTTTAAAATTTTGCTCCGTTGAAAAGAAATCAATTTGAGAAGATTATTACATACTCATTATTGAAAACGACGACGTTTTAGAACGTCAAGGAGCAGCAGATAACGATACAATTTTGTGTTTTACTCAGGGAAAAATCTTGAATAAACTCTAGAAATGTTGAAGTAATTAAAAAATATGCCACCAACGAGTTGCGCATGTATGTACAAATAGTACAGGCAGTATATAAGTGACAGAGACTCTGTGTCGATGAGGCTAATTTGAGAAGAAACGGTTTAACTGTAAAAAATAATATGGAAAAAAACTTTTATAATTTGGAACTTCAAGAAAAGACATTGGCGCTTCAAAGTTGATTGACTTTAAGACACGTAGCAAAATTGATACGCATCATTTTAGGGGTATGTAGTTTACACTGGATTAAAGAAACATTTGACAGTAAAAAAGACAGTAAAAAAAACCTAATACCCCTTGGCCAAATTTTGTTTTGAAAAATGAGTGAAAACGACAGCATATAAGAACATCTAAACAATTAATTTTTTTAATCAATAATTGACGTTAACCACGTTTGTCTGAAATTCAAACAGGTAGTTAAACTTGAATGCATTGCTTTAAACCCTATTAACAAATTTACAATAAGACGAACTTTACAAAAACAGCCAATTGCAAGGGAAGAGCAAAGAATTGCAAAATCATAAAACAGTAGTACATGCTTAGTAGTCTTGTTGTTCAAGTTCTTATTCAAGGAGGCAGTTCAATTTCTATTAGAGTTTAGAACGCAAATTTTTGCGAAATAAAATCCAAAGGTTTATGATGGAACTAGAATCAGGAATCTCCTACCTTGAATTTCTTCATGACAGCGTCCAAACTCATGAGCCGTGAAGAGTAAAGTAGTTTGGGGGATAGAAAGATAATGTTTTGTCACACCAACAATATTCGCCATGTTGCAGATCTATCAACCTTTGACTTGTTTCATTTTTCAATCTTGTCCACAGCCTTGTATTGTTTGTTTTACATATTTTTTTTAGATTGTAAGATGTTATATAGTAAATATACCACCAACTATGAAATAATATTCTTTTTTGTGTTTGTAGGGGGAGCTGAAACAATTCCCGTACTTCATCGATTCACACTGTGCTGCATGTTTGTACTGGCCCTTTTTATCAAGACTCCATATATATAAAATATACATGTATTTCATTAAGTAATCACTGCTTTAACTTCCTTATAATAATCACGAAATACTTTGTGGTGGTAGAATAAAAATCCAGGCTATTAATCTGAAAGACAATAAAACAAATATCAAACAATAAGCATTTTTAGTTTTAGTACACTTGATTTCAAGCAGGAATCCACAAAAATAAGATGCATGAACGTTCAAGTGTAAGGCTTTGCGTGTATATACACTATGATGTAAATCCCAATGCCATTAAAAGCTGAAGATCGCAAAAGAGACATAAGATGCACACATCTCAAGTGACCATTCCATGTACATTTATCAAAGTTAACATATTGTTCTGTTCATTATGATAAATATAATAGTCTTTAAAACATTTTTACAATAATATTTTTTCTTTACTTATTTTATGATGAAACTTACAGTGTGATATACAACCTCTTTATGTGATTTACAGTACCATTCAACATCTTTTAATACAAAACCAAGAATAAACATACGAAACTCGTCGAGAATTTTATCTTTCCTAAAATTAAGATAAAGTATTGATATTCGTTTTTTTCCCTAATTTTCTCACATTTATTCAAATACGTATAATCCAGGATTTTACATTACCCTTACAACCCATCCTGACTATGGGATGTGGAAAGAAGAAGTCTCAATAAGCCATTATCTGTGGTCCCCGGTTACTTGTCAAATTTTAAACTTTCATTAAAAAGCTTAAAAAGTAAATTACATTGTTCTCTTATGTCTGTAGTATATGCTCCAACGTTTAAAAATTTCAAATAATTGCAAAAAAGAACACGCAAAGCTGTGTTTTGAAGGTGGGGTCCTTTGATTTTCATGAATATCAAAAGAAATTTGTGATAGGTACCCACTTCACGGCTTTCGTAAACATCGAGCGCAGCTTTGTTCAAAGTCGACATCAAAATATAATGTGTATATTATATTTATACAGATTGTGTAAAAATATCTTTGTTGAACAACATTGCGCTCTATGTCTTTTACTTAAAAGTATCATGATTTTGGATCTGTTCGGTGAGTACATTTACATAGGATTAACCTCTTGTTGACCTGCTAAGAATAGATAATGTGTCACGTGATTCCATTCCGCCACAGGTGAATAACTTTGGAAAGCGTGTTTTCTGTAGGAAGCGACACATGTAGCTCGTATTTGAAAAGTGCAGACACCAGCTTTTATTTTTTTTTAAATAAACAAAAGGTTCTCTATAGACTTCGATGAATATCACTTATGTTAAACTCTGACGATTTTCTGGAACATTTTTTTAATTCTCATGCACGTAATCGCAATATCCCTGTTCATTGCGAAAAGCACAAGCGTAGATGTATATAAATACACATTTATTTACAGAATTTACAGCAAAGTTAAGAGATATATATACATGTCAGGCAGGTAGTATTTGGGGGAGGTTTGACCCATTCTTTTCAGGGATAAATCTTGAGTTCTTCACACACACACACACCCCCCCAAAAAAAATTTTTCATACGCCTTCACGCTTGCTGTTACAATATGAATAAATACACATCAATGTTAATGTTTAATTTTTCAAATAAAAAAAATTAGTATTTTTTTTAAAATCCTAATTCTACATTAATCGTTTTCAAGTTTGGAGAATGATTTCCTCGATCTTTTTCTTTTGCTTTATCAAATTCATGTTTCTTGTTTTCTTTTCTAAGCCTCCCCCTGAATGGGAGTGTATGTCTGTGTGTATTTACCGTTAATTATTATGCAACCGCTTGTGCTTTTCAAACAATCATATAAAAGAAAATTATTGTAGTGGGTAAAATATCTTGACATTTTATTCAACAATGATAGATTTAAAAAAAAATTATTGTGATTAGGGGGATTTTCAAAACCCCAACAAAAATACCTCAAGAACTAAAAAAGACTCCTACCCACCCCAAGTTCAGAAGAATACGAATGATGCAAAATAAAATTCAAACGTATTGAAGATTATTATTACCCATCTTATATTGTTTATTATTTCTTATCTCACGCTAAAATTCATCGGTGTCTTCCTTTATATAATACCTAATTTAAATGTCTCCGCCCATTTGTATGTAATAGAGGAACCGTACTCTGTTCGAAAGAAAATGTTCCGGAATTTATGTGTTCAGTAGGTGTTGGAAATCAGCTTGTATTTCTTGAAATTCAAAGTTATTAATAATGATTGTACAAAATGTTAATTAGAAATACTTTGTTATACACAATGAAGCTAAAAATAATACCGTATCCTCATGTATATTCTGTAAAATAAGGGCAAAAAAAGGGACCACGCTGCTATACTTAAGTGGAAAACTCCTTTATAATTTAAATCACAGTCACTCACCCATACAAATAGACATTCACTCTAAAAACAGAAGAGAGGAGACGGAGAAAAAGAAAGGTAACTCTTGCTGTTTTTATACAAACCATTTATATTAGTTGAACTATAGTTACATTTTTTGTTTTTGAAAAATAGACATATTTCTATTTAAATGTGATTCTATCTATTTATGTTTGGGTATTTGCTAACAAAAAATAAAATTTAAATCTAACAACTTAAAAAAAATCAATCATGCATACATTGACATATAAATTTCCATATACACATTTCTTCGTGTTATTGCCAAACATTTGAATCAAGAACAAATGCAAAGATATAAATATATTTTTTAAACAATATTTCACACTATTCATAGATATACAGACTTATTCATCTAGTTTTGTGAAAAGATTCCATTTCTCATCAAATACTAGTACATTTATATATATATATATATATATATATATATATATATATATATATATATATATATATATATATATATATATATATATATATATATATATATATATATATATATATATATATAAAAAAAAGGTAAAAAAGAAAACACAAAAATCCTCAGTTAAGCTTTAGCGCTTTCATTTTTCAATCTTCAGAAGCTTCTGAAGATTGAAAAATGAAAGCGCTAAAGCTTAACTGAGGATTTTTGTGTTTTCTTTTTTACCTTTTTTTAAATATTGTTATCCGATTACTGAGACATTATTTAAATTTTGGATATATATATATATATATATATATATATATATATATATATATATGTTATTTTTGTTTGTGTTGGAGAGGACAATCTAAGTTGACATAACTTGTGTCCAATCCCATTGATTGCGTTCAATAAAATATGTTTAAATGCACTAGTACATTTCTTTTTAATGCTCTCTGTATTCATTCAGTTTTGTGAAAAGATTCCATTTCTCATCAAATAAACTAGTACATTTGTTTTTTAATGCTCTCTGTTTTTCAATTTTATACAAATTGGTCCATATAGTTTTAAAGTTGTTTAATTATACAGGATTTTCTTTATATCTGGAACAGATAAATATTATATTTCAATTGACAGTTTATTAAATTAATCATTTCACTTTCAGCAAAACCAAACATTTTTTTTTTAATCGATTACAATATTAAATGAAAAAAAGTCATAAAACCAAACATAAACATTTGTTAAAAATGTATTTAATTCTACACATTCATTAAAAAGATGTTCTAGTGTTTCCTTTTCTTTGCTACAAAAACTGCATATACGAGGTCTGTTCAATAAATAATGTCCTCGGTCCATGGAAAGAAGCAAAAGACGCTTATCAATGACTTAGTCTTAATGATTTAACTTAATATTCTCTTGTAATTAAAACACATCCGTAACAATTTTTATCCAATTTCTGATTATTTTTAGAACTCAGTTTTGGGTATGACCCTTAGTATACTGGAACATGGTAGATCCTATGATTTCCTGGACTTGTTTCTTCCTTCTGTAAGGTGTTTTTATTCAAGTCAAAAGGTAATAGATCTTCCGAATGTTGTTGATGTGAAAAAACATTAACTTTCTGTTTATCCCCAAAACCCCTTTACTCTTCAGGGCGTGCGGGTATGGACGCTGTCATGAAGATATTTAATGTAGTTGATGCTATATGATATATGATATATTTAATGCTTCTGGGCCCTTTCTATAATATACCTTTCGATTTTTTTAGCATAAGAATGCTTTCTAGTCTCCTCCAAAAATTAAACTGTTTCCCCTAATACGAATTTGAACAACAATACCACTAATATTTAAGAAAATTGCATATAAATCTGTCTTTGTGCTCCTGTCAGACCTTCATGCACTGTTTCTGTCAAGTGCATCTTATAGTAAATTTTGTTTTGAGTGTTTTAAGCAATAGATTCAAGTTTCATTATCTGTCTGAATTTCAATCAGACGTGGATAACTACGATTACTGATATTTTAAAATAATTGTTAAGACATTCGTACACGCTGTCGTTTACATTCATTTTCAAAATATAGGGTGACCTTTGAGTACGAAGCATTTTTAACGTCAAAAATTTCTTTAAAACTGTAAAGTACTCCCGAAATGGTGTCAAATTTGCTCTGTGTCTTAAAGTCAATCATCAAATATTATTTGTTGAAATTTGACAAACAGTCCATAAGTTGTCATATTTTTTGTTGGCAAGGACGGTACCCATTATGTATTTTTTATCATTGAAACCCACCTGCTCATTTGTCTATAAAACAAACATTGGTTGCTGTAAATGTTACATATTTCAGTGAAATTTATTTTGGATTTTTAACAAGTTTTACAGCAGCTTAAAAGAAGCTGTTATTAAGGTCTTCCGTTTCCAACGGAAGACCTTCTACTGATTCTGTTGGTAAAGATTATTATTCTTTTTTTTTCTTCTACTTCCTAGACGCTAGCTTTGAAAGCTCATATCTCACTCATTTCTTAATTGATTTCGCTCAAATTTTCAAAGATACTAGAAGTTACTAAACTCTATCAGAATGCTGTCGAAAATTTCAAAAAGTCACTTCCGGTTTTGAATTATTTCCCTTTAAACAAAAATTTATAGGCTTTCGTTTCCAGACAAAGGCTCGGAGACGGCTAAAGCTGGAGAAGAAATTCTACTGATTTTAGATAATAGAGGGATTGAAGTTGTGCACATCGGTTTTTGTTTTTCGATTTCTCTATTCAAAATGGCGCTATATAGGGGTCAAAAATTAGAACGCTTAAAAGAGCCAAAAATTACTCATATTTTGCTTTTTATCTTCTAAACTAAAAACATTTTGTTAAACTATATAGAACATAATTTGTGCAGAATTAGAAGATCTTTCAAATGATATCTCGGAAAAAGGGCTGGTCCCTAAAATTAAGGGTCAAGAGGGGCCAAAAGTTTTTCCTTTATATCTCAAAAAGTATTGAGAATTTGTAATACGTCAAAGAAGCAAAGTTGTTTAAAATGTCAAGTTTAATCTATTAAGGTCGTCAAAGTACGTCCGGCGACGTCACTTCCGGCCAAACCGGAA